CAGCACTTGTTGCCGGGGACCATCATCCCTGCCACATTCTGCAATGTATATTTAAAACCAGCCATTATGGCGTTGCAGGTAGGGTTTAGGGCTTAGGGTTTAGGGTTCAGGGTTTAGGGTTTAGGGTTTAGGGTTTAGCATGCTCTTTCGTTTGCAAGAGGTGGAGGTTGATCTCACATCTAGATAGAAATCGCTGGGAGCACCAGGCCCCTTTTCACCCCAGCGATGCCACATTTGCCAGCTGTGGGGGAACTTGAGCCATGGAGGGAAAGGGATAAGGCTTCTCTTGTCAGCCTTAAAGTTGTGTTCCGTTGTACGAAACCCCAAGTATATTTCAAGGAATCTTCCTTACGGCCCACGTGTTTGGTCTTTCTGATCAGATCCCAATAGTCCTTTGTTCAGGGTCCCGCGGTAGGAAAACCCTAGAAAACTTGAAGGAATCTTTCTTGGGGGTCAAGAGTGAGTTTCTCCAGGTGTTCGATCTTACATGCAGACTCCTCCTGTCCAACAACTGCGACTGCGACAGCACCCCCAAGAGACTTGGTGACGACCTATTTCATCTGGGCTGGCGGCTTGTGTGGTTCGTCTTTCCCCACATGCGCCGTGCCTTCAATCGGAGCCCATAGCACAGAAAAGCCTGAAGCCCGAATCCCGATCTGAGATCGAAGCCCTAAAATCCCCAACCTCAAGACCACCGGCCCGCAAAGCGAGCAAAGGAGCGACATCAGCGTGTCCGGGAGCAACCTGAGGGTGCCGGTGGCAGCAAAAAAAGCGTCCATGTGCCGACCTCCGGTTTGTTTTTTCCATCCTTACAGTGCCTTCATATAGGGGCCTTTGTAATCAGAATGGGGTTTGGGGGGAAAACTACACCACAATCATAATAAGGAACCCCCAAAACCCTATTCTAATTATTAAGGCCCCTACATTACAGTGTTACAAGAGCACCTCTTGCAGAACAGAAGCGGGGTGCCCACTGCAAGCACATCCCACAGCTCATCCGTCATCATTGGCTCTGTGCTTCCGAGGTCGTCTGCGTGGTGAAAGGTGGGACTTTTCCAAAACATGTGTCTTTTGCTTCTGCCATGGCCTTGCAAGGAATTTCGAACTTAATCTTTCGAAACCGGCTTTCCTTCTTGTGGTCCTGACTTTTGACAAGAACGCGTCAACAGAGCAACACCCGACATTCTGCGGAAAGACGCAGTTCCGCACAAGGGGATGCATTGGCAATCCCGAGATACCAAAACCCTGCAAAGGCCCCAGACACAAAACCCTCAAGCAGCCAAAGCCTCTAGCACACACTCTAGCTCCTCGTCCCTTGGGGAGGGGACCAAACCCTATAAACCCTAAACCCTAAGCCCCAAACCCCAAACCCCAAACCCCCCAAAATAACCCCAAACCTCGAATCCTAAACCCTAAACCCTAAAACCTGAACCCTAAACCCCGAACCCCAAACCGCCCTAAACCCCAAACCGCCCTAAACCCTAGAACCTCCTTGGGGAGGGGACCTGATGGCCGACTTCGGCTGGGAAGCCTCGGCCTCCGCCAGCTTCGAGCCCTCCTCGCGGGCCAGCGGTGGCAAGGTCCAGATCCCAGGAGCGCCGCTCCTCTAGAAGGTTCCTGAGGTTTAGGGTTTAGGGCCTAATTCAGGGGTTTAGGGGTTTAGGGGTTAGGGTTTGGGGTTTGGGGTTTAGGGTTTAGGGTTTAGGGTTTAGGGTTTAGGGGTTTAGGGGTTTAGAGGTTTAGGGGTTCAGGGCTTTGTATCGTGACCAGTATAGTGGTAGAATTGGGGTTCGTATTCGAGGTTCAGGGGTTTTAGGCCCACAGACGCCGTCTCCCAGGGTTTCGAAGCGGAATCTGCGTAGCCCAACACGCGCCGGACCCAACCTGAAGTCTGCAACAAAAATTGGATTATGCCACACTTCAGGGTTTAGGGCTTAGGGTTTAGGGTGGCTTCACTGGGTCGGACCCATAAAAGGAACTTCATAGAAACGCTGCGTCTTGCCCTTTCCCAGAATCCAACAGCAACTGCCGAAGGCCAGGAGACCAACTCGACTCACCGTCGTCGAACTCTGTGCCTTGGCTACGAGTTAGCACATGGTCACATAAACCATAGCAGCTAGCACGCTCCCTAAACCCTAAACTCTACACCCTAAACCCTCAAAAAAAACAAAAAAACCCTAAACCCTAAACCCTAAACCCTAAACCCTAAACCCTAAACCCTAAGCTCCTTAAGCTGATCCTTACCACTCATGGTTCATTCGTAACCAAGGCGGTGTTTAGGGGCTTAGCGTCTCCTGGGTTCTCTTTTGGAAAGGAGCTGTGAGAGTCTAGCTGTATACGTACTATGGCATACCTCAGAGCCTATTTCATGATGAATTGAGGCCCTGTGTAACATAACTCCGGGAGGTTGTATGAGTTTACAAGGTAGCGATCTGGCGTTGAAGGCTTTCCGAATGCTCCGTCATGCGCCCATTAAGCCCCAAACACATTTAAAAAAAAACAACATAGCAAAGAGACCTTCCAGACCCGAGCAGCCCATGTCATCGGGATCCCTGTGCTTGCAGGGCCCGGAGTGGAGGCACATCGCTCCGGAGTCAGGACGAGACTTCAAGAGGGGAGCCCTCATGCCTGGGTCACAGAAGTATGCGGCAGGGAGCTGTATAGTCGACAATGTCTCAGCTTTTGCCGACAAAGTGTTATCTTGGACTACTCAGAGAGCGATTCCAGAAGCCACGTCTCGTCGTAAAGGCTCTCTCTTAGACTGTCAAGCTGAGCTCCAGGGCAATTGCTCGGGCCCTGCTCAGGAGGTGCAACGTAATTCTGGCCCAACTTCACCAGGAAGGGGCAGGACGGGTGCAGTCAAAGGTTGCTTGTGGGTCGGGGAGTTTCTGCCTGCTGGGCATTTGCATCCATCCATCCATCCATCCATCCATCCATCCATCCATCCATCCATCCATCCATCCATCCATCCATCCATCCATCCATGCATGTTTATGTATGTATGTATGTATGTATGTATGTATGTATGTATGTATGTATGTATGTGTGCATGCATGTATGTATGTATGCATGTATGTATATGTCTATTTCTATGTATATGTATATGTATATGCATATACATATATGTGTATATAAAGATGTGTATATGTGTATATATATATATGTATGTGTGTGTGTGGATGTAGCTGTGTGTGAATATGTATATATATATACACACATGCATTGATTCATGTACTTCAGTGTTTTCAGCATACCTGGGTCGTGCACACATAGATGCAGGAAACAACCGTTGCAGTCGTGCGGAACAGGTGGGTGCTCATCTTGGGAGATTTACCAGGTAGCAAAACATGTGGGTACACATATACGTATGTATGTATGTATGTATGTATGTATGTATGTATGTATGTATGTATGTATGAGCGTATGTTCATAAATCCGTAAGCCTGTGTACACGTGCATATTCTCCATACCTATATATGTATATACACATATTTATATGTATAAACATATATATATATATACACATAGCATAATATACACACACATATATATATATATATACATATATATATATATAGAGAGAGAGAGAGAGAGAGACAGAGAGAGAGAGAGAGAGATTTTGTAGAATCTGCGTGTGCATGTAATTGTAGGTGGGAGGAAAGGGCAGGGATTTGGTGGTCTCGTTCACCTGAACGGTCAGCATCATGGCAAGGCTCGTTGTACCTTGATGTAACCAGGAAGCACACACGTATGCAAATTGAGCCTGTGCCAGCGACTGCTCTGAACTCGGATGAACCCTAAACCCTAAACCCTAAACCCTAAACTCGAGGGAATTTTCGCCTCAGAGCAAACAGGTCTGCCTCCGGCTCCGGCTCTGGCGGCACAACGGACTTCGAGGACTCGTGCGAGGGTCGCACCGGTCTCGCCCTGAACGGAGAGATTGGCATCCGCAGCATCATCGTCGAAGGCCCCTTGCTTCGAGCTGCTTCAAAGGAAACGTGTAGGTTGAAACGAGGCGATTTGATTAACAACGAAATACCACGAAGTGATGAAGATGAAAAGGTAATCTGAGTGCGATAGACTAGCTACTTCGATGCGAGGATTTGGAAAGATTTGCCCATGACCAGGCAATGTGGACATGTTGTCGGGAGAGACCACGGTGGACGTGTCAGTGAAGCTTGCCTCTGTATTTTCGCCATTTGAGCTGTTGACTGTTTGCTTGTGGCGATGGATGGAGCCCTGAAACACCTGCATAACTTTCCCGGAAGTGGGACAAACTGAAAGAGAAGGCGATTCAGCTACTCGGCACAGATACTGTTAAGTTGTAAGGTGCTGTCAAGCAACATTCCCCCAGCTGCCAGCATTTGCAGATCCCCGTCCCGTGGAAGCCTCGTGGCTCAGGGAAACGGGCCTGGTGCTGGAGGCATTGCTCGAAGGCACCTGGGATGAATCGTGGGCCCTCGCTATGGGTAGTACAACCATGGTAGGCTGCACATTTTCTTCCGCCTTGTCTCTATACCGCAAGGAGGCCGGAAACCTCAAAAGACGCCGAGGCCAGGGTGCTTGCTCTTTCACGGCCGCACGGCGCTTCCCCAAAAAGCCCTACGTGAAGACTGCCTCTTGGCTCTTGAACTCAGATGGGACCTTGTCATGTGAGTAGTTGTCAAAATTATGGTCCCTTTTGGGGTACCCTAAATAGTAGGTGCCGTATTATAATAAGAACCCCAAAAAGGGCCCTAAACCCTAAACCCTAAACCCTAAACCCTAAACCCTAAAAGGGACCCTAATTTTGACAACCACCTATGTGGGAACTCGTGGTCTGCCCAGGCGCAGGTTGGCAGAAGATTCGGGTTTAGGGTTTAGGGTTTAGGGTTTAGGGTTTAGGGTTTAGGGTTTAGGGTTTAGGGGTTTAGGGTTTAGGGTTTAGGGTTTAGGGTTTAGGGTCAGCAAGCCGAGGTCTGTGGAACCTACGGCTGCCTCATAGTGCCTTTGCTTTGCATCCGACAGGTCAGGTAGCACCGGGCTTGTTGGCAGGCGTTCAGTGGTTAGTGCTGCGCAGGTCTTATAGTTTAACGCAGGGTTGTTTCCTTGTTGCGGGCACGTTCCCCGATCTCCGAGCTGTGTTCTTAACTTAAGCCCCCCCCTTCGCCCAACGGTTCTCAGAAAGCGCCGAGTTTGCCCCTGTAGCGCACTGCAGCCATAACAGTCCCCAGCTGGTGTATCTTCCAAGAGCCCAGCAAAACCCAAGAGTATGCCCTGGAGGGCCTGAGGAAATCTTTGGACCTAAACCCTAAAACCTAAACCCTAAACCCTAAACCCTACTGCAGGTGATGGTCCAGGGCATTGCTGAGGCGGATGCTTTCGGTTCCCTGACTGGGGCCGTCGCCACGAAGCTGGAGGCCGACCCACCCGGAGAAGGCTACTTAAAGGATTCGGGCTTTTAGGCTTTAGGGTTTATGGTTTAGGGTTTAGGGTTCAGGGATTTAGGGTTTAGGGTTTAGGGTTTAGGGTTTAGGGCTTAGGGTTTACTTAAAGGATCATGGGACTTAGTAAGCAGGTTATATTTAGAAAAACTA